CAAAAAACAGGCTTTGTTGGGCTGTTGTATAAAAGCTGGAACTCAACGCTATTTCTGAACATTTTGAATTGGAAAAACTTCCTGGATGGGAAGCAAAATGTCTTCAAACTTTGAAAAAAGTCCAGTGGATTGTTTTAATGTTCTTTTTAAGAATACTTTTATTTCTTTCAGTTTTTCTTTTACAAAATTATAAACTGCTAAAGATGTTTGTTCCGCAGCCTTGAGACAAAGCTTTTCTTATTCTCTTATTTATTTTTACATTTATTTCACAAATATAGCCCTTCAACATACCTGTTTGATCATGTTGTCACACACAAGCCATTTAGCTATCCCCCCAAACACAATCAGGTTAAACAGGAACACAACGCTGAAGAGGCCCAGTGTCGTCCCCATCTTCACTTTGTCATTGGTTATGTAGCATCTATGCAGAAAGGAAGCAAAGGAAGCTACATATTATCATATGACAAGGAAAGAAAATCTATAATAATAACCATAGGTTCAGACTAAATGCATTTTAAGAGACAAAAATGCATCCAAGGCATCAACTTGGACATTTGTGCATTTTAATGCCTAATGTTCTGAACGCTGGATGCAATGAACACGGCGGTCTGATTGGTTGACACTCAGCATCCAGCTGCAAAAGTTCAGATTTTCCAACTAGCGTTCCAGCTTGTCTGCTAAAAAAACGCTGCCCTCAATGCTGATCCAGAACCGCTGCAAGACTCACCGTTCCTGACGGTCAAATTGTGCAGCTCAACCTTTTGACACTCCTTCATTCTGTCTCCCAGACTTTGCACATAAACTAAATGTTCTGATGCTCAAAGTGCGGTTGACGTAAACGGATCGTTAGAGAACAGAAATACATCTATAAACATACTAAGCTATAGTTAACAGTGGAATCAGTCTATTAGGATTAGGAACTAGCCTGGATTGTGCATCATTTTAGAGTTTTACTTACACTGCGAGTTCACTGGGTCCAGATGAGATCAAAGGGGTATAACCATACAGGTTTTTGTCAACGATCACAACCACCGACACAATGAGAGCCGGAAGACCTGGAATACAACAACGTTCTTGACTTAAGGCTGCAGACATTTGGCTCCATGCTCAGGTGATTCCACTCACCCCACCCCACCACACTGAGCTTCAACAGGTATCTCTTCACATAGATGTTGAAGACTTTAAACAGGAGGAGATAGAGGTGGAAGCCCTCCAAGGCCATCCAGGTGAACGAGGCCAACAGAGAATAGTGAAGAACAAGAGCTACATAAAGACAGAGACCAGGGGATGATGCTGCTGCCACCGCCTGGTTAGGGAGGAAGTGAACATTTAGGAGGATCAGAGCGACTGCCAGGCTGATGTGGATCTTCTTGGAATCATCCCCTCGGACCTCTCTGTCAGACACAGAATATGTGGACTGAGGTAAACAAGATGTTTACCAAGATTTAATGCTCACAAAAAGTCTAGATTTCAAAGGAGTTGGACTGGCTAACTAATCTAGAGCGAGGTGTTTGAAGGATGCAGAACAAAAGCAGTAATATAAGTGGTAGAAAAAAGGTGAGCACTGTTTAAAGTCAAACTTGGCAAAGAGAAGAATACATTACCTGTTTGTGATAAAGAGCAAAACAGCAATGGCCAGGGCAGTAAGAGAAATACTACAGCCAATGATGGTTATGTAGGACATAATCTCCTGGTCTTTAGGCGAGAGGTCTGCAGACACCTGTGGATAAAGTAGAACATTATATAACAATGTGTGATAATCTCTGCACTGGTGCTGGCCTAATCCACAACTCAGCACACCTTCTCGACTCCACCCTGCCTGCTATTAACAATAAGTGGTTCCACCTGTCACCACCTCCATATATACCCCATTTGGATCAGTTCCCAGTGCCAGATCGTCTCAGACTAGCAACTGAATACTTTCCAGCATTCCAGCTTTTTGCCTCCCAATCTTACCTGACCTCTGGACCCCTGCATCAGTTCTGCCTAGGATTGCCTGCCTGTGAGCCTTACCCCCACCTGGTCTGGGAGTTACAGAGTCTGCCTAACCCCTTTGTTTCTCTGAACCTGCCATTAATCGGACCCTGGATCGGACCTGGACCTTCCTTCCGGATTGCCCCCTTGTACCGTCGCTTGTACCCTATCTCTGAATGCTGTACCCAGAATGTCTCTGGAGCTCATCAGTCTAAGTCCTCTGCAAACCATCCGCCACTCAGCGGCTCCTGCTCCCACAAGCTCAGTCTCTTAACATACCTCTATCCTGGACTCATCACAGAGCCAGCCACCTACTCTGAGACCCACTAACAGGTTAGTGATCCAGTCTCACTCCCTTGCTAATTGTTGCTCTAGCTCACAGGTGTCAAACTGGTTCCAGAAAGGGCCGTGTGGCTGCAGGTTTTCTTTCCAACCAAGCAATAGCACTCCCTTGATGAGATGACTGGAGTCTGGTGTGCTATTGTCCTTTCTGGAACCAGTTTGACACCCCTGCTCTAGCTGATCACCAACCTATTGTCTCTGCCACAGGGGATTTCCAGTCCGAGAACTGTCTGTGCGCTCCCAGTACCACACTTAGCCCATTCTCTTTAATAAAGTCCTTTGCATTCCACTGTCCTGTCTGTGTAGTATCTTGGGTCCCTTCCCTTTATTACACAATGCAGTGATTGTGGCATTATTAAAAGGATGAGACACTAGACCCAATAATCCAAGCTGCTGCCTTTACACTTCAAAAATGTATTTAAATGAAGGTCTAACCCAGGGGTGCTCAAGTCCAGTCCTCAAGAGCTACCATCCTGTAACTTTTAGATGCATCTCTTCTCTAACACACCTGAATCGAAAGGCTCAATACTCTCATTTAGCTCAGCAGAGGCATGTAATGAACCACTCATTTGACTCAGGTGTGTTAAAAATGGGGTGCACCAAAAGTTGCAGGATAGTAGCTCTTGAGGACTGGACTTGAGCACCCCTGGTCTAACCTGTGTATGACTACACAGTAATCAACATTATAAACAGCTGGAAAATTATTTCTGATATTGTTTTTTTTTATCTATATCTTGTAGTATCCTTTTTTGGTGACATACTGTTGGGTTTTTTATGCTTGAAATAGTTCATTCCATGAGTAATAATTAAGCTTAACCACTGAGATAAGTGACAAAAAGTGTTAGCCTTGACATTCAAACATTTTTTAAGTCTTAGGGAAGCGGTCATTCCAACCGTTGCATTTCCAAATTCTCCTTAGTGGTGCCCAACTTTACACGAGGGAATAAAGTGAATGTGATTGGTCGTTTATCAAGAGAGCGGGATAGTTGTGGCGGAAGGTTTGCAAGCGAGTTTGGTTGTGGCCGGTTTGCTAACCAGTTAGCAACTTAGTGCTAGCAGGTTCCAATGGGATTTCCCATTTCCCAGACAATATGGTCTGATAAAGAGTACATTTATATCCATGTTTAAGCCAGAATGATTTAAAATTTAAATATGACTTTAAATGTACCAATAACAAACAATAAACAAAGGTGTGGGGAGTACCCTGCATTTTTTTATTCATGTAAGACTTGCACTAATTTAAATGTATTTTACTCGAGTCAAAGTTGGAGGTAGCCATCCAATAATTTACTTAACAGTAAAACAAGTAACTTCAAAATGGCTACTTGGTACTAAGTAATAACAGCTAATTTATTGTTTGAGATTGTGCAGTCAGACACGGCTATGTGCAAATATTGGTATTGCAATTTATTAAATAAATTGAAAAAATATAA